TAAATTAGAATAGAATAGAATAGAATAGAATAGAATAGAATAGAATGGAATGGAATGGAGCTGAACAGAACGGAACAGAACGGAACGGAACAGAACAGAATGGAATAGAATAGAATACTTTATTGTCACATTGAATGTATACTAATCGGCATACATTAAAATGAAATTACATTACAACTCTCAAAGAGTCTCCACCTTTAATACAGAGGTGGGTTTCTGCCGGTTCGCCCCAGATCGGGCGAGCCGGTAATGGTGGCACGGGGAGGCTCTGCCCACCCGGCCAGAAACTTCTGTGCATGCGCAGAAATGTAGTAAGAATACGCGCACGAGTGAAATGGTAGTAAAATAAATTGAAACCCACCACTGCTCTAATATAAATATAAACATGACAAGATAAACAATTAAGTACAAAATTATGCATGTACCCACATATATTATATGGCATGGAGAAACAACACACTCTGGTTCGGATGTATACATGTACATGGCAAGAAAAACGAATCTTGGGAGTTTACAAGAAGGATGGAATAGAGAACAAAGCTGTTACAGAATCTGGAAGTCCTGCTAGAAATACTTCAAAAAAACATTATGGAGATGGTAAAACTAATCAAATGAGTCAGATTCCAAATGGATAGATGCACCCCAGGATTGTGAAACAAGATCAGAATCCATACATACTTGGGGGAAAAAAAATATTTAACTTCAACACATATTTATGAATATGTTCATTCCCATAGAAGTAGATGTCTAAATATAACCTTGTTTTTTTTAAGGTAATCTCTATATAACAGTTTGAAGCACACACTAGTTAATTTCTATAGGATTTGTGTTTAAAGAAAAAAAAACAAGATATAGAAATGTATTCAGAGAAAGATTAATAATAAGAACTAAAACTTAGGGCCATTTTAAGAAACCTGTATAGACCTCAGCCAAATCCATTAATTTACATACAATTATTAGAAAACAATATATTGTTAGATTATAGGAACAGTCTGATTAAACATTCATCTTATTTGATATGCAATACTTAGAGTTGGACCGGTAGGTATTTCTCTGATTATTTTGCATTCAGTGCCGTAGAATATATAAGAGAATAAAATATGGGCAAATAACAGCTTTGACTCTATTTTTTTTTTCAGATGTATTTTTGAGAGATTTTATATAGGTCAAAGAAGGGGAAATCTAACCCGATCTTCTGGTATCGTTCTCATTATTTATTTTATTCATTATGAATTTATTTCCTCTTCTTCCAGGACTGTTTTCAAGGATATATATCTTGTAGGCAATATATCAGAAGAACTCAAAAAGAGTTGAGGCATAGCTACTGACTTAAAAAAAGAAACAAGGAGGATTTTTGACACAGTGGAAAACCAGAGAGGATTAGGACACTAAATAGCTGGAGTACCATCAGTGGTGATTTTTTTTTTTTAAAAAAAATGCATTACCAGGTTTGAGACCAGTGATGAAAGGAATCAGTATATTGGAAAGCTAGATCTTGAAAGCAAATAGCTAGAAAAGAAACCTACCACTGCCAAAGTCGGCATAACAATTTTGTCTGCAACACTGGGAAAGGGCACCGATATAAATCCAAAACCTCTGGAGAATTTCTAGAAGCCTGGCACTCACACTAGCCAGCCATCAACAGGCACATAGAAAAAAACAACATCTACCTGCCATTCAAAAAAGAGACAGTTAAAAAGCTAAAAAAGCACACCACCTCCTTGCGAGTAATCAGCAATACCATAGATTAACAACAAATTTTATTCTAGACCAATAGCCCAAGCAGTATACAATACCACAATCAAGGAATTGCCAACTCAGACAAACAATAGAATGGAATGGAATGAATTAGAATTAGAATAACAGAGTTAGAAGGGACCTTGGAGGTCTTCTAATCCAGCCCCCTGCTCAAGCAGGAGAACCTATACCATTTCAGACTAAGAATATATCCCGTTTCAGGCAAGTTAACAGCACACAACAGCCTAATCAAGGAAGTACCAAAACACTCCCATCAATACTGATAGGGCAAGCCACTAGTAAATAAACAGAGAGCATTCCCTTCTAGCACTCATGATGTTTCCTAGTTGGGTAATGAAATATCTGCAAGAAAACAATCAAGCTCAGAGAGCACTGAAGATTTCCATACAGTGGGTTCATGCGATAACTAAAGAAGAAGAAAAGCATAGCCTCCTCATCCTCCTTGACAGCCCATCTCAGAGTACTGGAGTGCCTTAATTCTTTCAGAATATCGCTCCTTTCAGCATCTTAGCTCATAATGTCATCCGATAAGGAAGAAACAGGATGGAAACCTCTACTTTATCTGTGTCCTTCTTGGATACTGTGGTCTTGAATTGGAGTAGACTTTTCACTGGGTAGAATGATACATAGGAATTGAGTACAGGGGACATAACCGTTCTAGGCCACTTAATGAGGGGATATATTTAGTGCTATCAGATGTGGGCTTCAATAATTGGGACCAGGGGTAGGTTCCGGCAGTCACTATTGCTGGTTCACTCGTGGGCGCACCATATGCACATGCATGCACAGTGCAATAAAAATTGTTTGGCGCATGCACAGAAGCAAAAAACAAGATGATGGTGCCTATGGTGCTGCCTGGAAAATTGGTTTGCGGGCGTTGCAGCCTGGGTCGCTGCCGGTTCCAGCGACCCAGTCTGCCAAACCACTAGCGGTTCAGCCGAACCGGTCTGAACCGGTAGGAACCCACCACTGATTGGGACCCACTAGATAGCAACAGGCAACCCTTCTGCCATCTAGTAGATTTCCAGATGTTTTTCAGCCCTGATTTGGTAGCCCTAATTTTTGCTTCCAGGTTTATTTTGGAAATTTTTCTCCGGAATCCTTGATGTATGGATTAAAAGCTTCATTCCACAGAGCAGTACCTGTTGCAAAACATTATTTGAGAGAACGTTTGTGTAGAAACGACTTAGGGATCATTTTGTAGGCATATCTTTTAAAGGCTCTTCAGAAATAGTTCAATAGTTACAGCATTGATGGTTTAACAAAATCATTGGTCGATGAAAGGAAATATTCATTCACTAGTAACTGGAAAGTCATTTTTAAGAAACTCTTTGGAGATTAAAGAGGCAGAATTTGCCTGCCTGGTTTTTATCCTGTTTCTAAAGAAAGTTGGCTTCAGAAGAGCATGTGTGAAGTCAAAAAAATTCAGTTGGTCTCTTTTATAGAATGCTTGGGAATCAACTTAGGTCTCTTTCCTTTGCCAGTTCTGCTTGAATAAAATGGAAACCCAAAAGCTGCTAACTCTTATGCTTAGGCACTTCCAAAATTGAAAATGATTCCTAATAGGTATTCCTGTGCCGCCAAAATGATTTAGCATAATGCGCTGAGATTGCTAAGTCAAAATATCTTTTCCTAAGTGATTTTCTTGCTGTGTCTCTGAATGTCAGAGGGAAAGAAGAGGACATCGCCTGCTGAATATCATTGTCGGTTTAAAAGTTTTACACTGAATAATTCATCCTTAGGAAAGGATGAGGTTTTCTTCATTGCGTAAGTCAGAAAGGCTCAGCAACACTAATCACGTTACACTAAAAGATTTGCACTGGCCCCTCTCTGATGCCACTTTGGCTGCTAAAGCACAGCAACCCACCATTCTGTTGTTTCCCACCATCTGTGTTGATAATCAGCAGACCAGTGTGGATCTCATGAGTGAATCCCCACTAATTCTTTCAATTATTAGACCAGGAGACGTAACATTTGAGGTGCATTGGGACTAAACCAAGTTTTGTTGGCTCAAGTTGCTATGCCCGGTTACTCCATTGCACTGACTGTTGACCATGGAATCCTTGGTGCTCTCTGAGCTTGGTTGTTTTCTTGCAGCTGTTTCATTATCCAACTAGTAACATCATTAGTGTTAGAAGGGAGTGAGGTTTCGTCTCTGTTAACATACAGGTGATGTGCCCTCTAAGTGTTGGTGTTGGTGGTCTTGATTAAATGGTTTAGGATTTCCTGCTTGGGTGGGTGGGTTGGTGACTAGATGACCTATGACCGTGATGGCGAACCTATGGCATGTCTCTTGAAAGTGGCACGCAGAGCCATCTCAAGGGGCACTCCAATCCTCACCCATTGCTCATCCATGTTCCAGCACGCACATGCGCACCGGCCAGCTGGTCTTCACGTGCATGGCAGTGCTGGAACCCAGAAGAAGAACTCCCTGATGTGCATGTGCATGAAAAGAAACTGAGCTTCTGGTTTCTGTTATGTGCATGCATGCTGGCCAGAAACTGGAAGACCAGGTGACCAGCCTGCATGTGCATGCTAGAAACTGGAAGCTCAACTGCTCTTCCAGTTTCCAGCACTCCCATGTGTGGGCGCCATGGAGCTCCTCTTCTGGTTATCGGTGTTCTCATGTGCTCCCATTTCTGTAATCAGTGCCAAAAAGGTTCACCAACACTGATCTATAAGGTCCCTTCCAACTTTGTTTCCATTCCATTCCATTCTATTCTATTCTATTCTATTTTATTCTGCCTGGTCTGGTCTAGTCTAGTCTAGTCTCTGATTGAGGTATTGTTCAGGGCATGTGATTGGTGGATTTGTTGTATTGTAAGCAATGCCCCAATCAAGGAATGACCATTTCAGGCAATCAATGAAATAATCATCAACAGCCTGATCTAGGAAGCACCAAGAACATTCCCACCAACATTGGTAGGGCCAGTAACTTGTATGTCCACAGAAAGCAAACTCCACTCCCTTCTAACACTGATGATGTTACCTAATGAAAACAAACAAGCTGAGAGATCATCAATGCAACCCTGAGCTACAAATGTTATCTTCTATTGGTGACATTTGACTCTTAGTTAGATACTAGTTTAACATAGGAGATGAATAATGTTCCCCACTTTATGATACAAGTCTGTTAGTGGGCCAAAACAATCTAAACGACATATAATATATAACTCTACCCTCCTCCTGTCCGTGGGTGCTAATGGAAGAACCATAAAAATATTGTTACTATAACTCCCAATATCTTCCACCTGAAATGCCTAATAGCTGAGATACTCTGTAGGTTCTGATCCCATTATGGATACAACTGTCATCAACACTCACGACATCACAGTAAGGAAAAGTTATCAGTTGAGGAAACACAAAATGTTTCATAGAGCATTCCTTTTTTTTAAAAATGGCTCCAATATTTCACACTACAAATCCAATAAGATTGCCATTAAAAGTTGGCATCCGTGTACCAGACGGAGCATCTCCAAAGTGTGAAGCAGTCCTGGAATGACTGTTGCTAAGATAAAGTGTGTAATATTTATCTCAATTCTGTTACATTATCTGACAAAATTGGATTAAATGCCTTCATGAACCCATTATTTGAAACTCTCTCTTTGAAGTCGCAGTTTCAGATTATAGGCGGTGGCAAATTGGCATGGTTTCAGGTTAGTGGGTGGTTTGTTTGTGTGCATGTGGCTAAATCAAAATAGCCGGTTTAAAAGAAAAGGTTCAGCTCTTCATCTCAGTCTTACCTCATCGTAGATGTTGTCATTTCTGTCAAAATCACCTGGCTTCCTTGGAAGTACATGGACATGAACATGCTAAAACAAAAAAAAGAATCAAAATCAAGGTTAGCCAGAAGCTTTAATACATCAGCTTTTTTTTTAATGCTCTCAAATTCTTTCACGTGGCGTTATTGTATTTAATGATCCCTTTTGTAAAGCTTATCTCTATTTGCCATCTTAATCTAGGGAAGCATCATTCTGGGTGCCCAAAAGGCAGTTTATACATGACAAATAACTTAAACAAGGGACCCACAGAGTTAAGTAAATAAAAATAGTCTCTCTTCTGAAATGCATGGAGGACAGAGAGAAAACTCCATGGTGATGGGGGATTTTGAGATAATGCTGAAAGGTACTGGGGAATTACGAGATGCCACTCTGCATTTCAATTATTATTGAAATGACAGACTATCACCTAGCTGTCAAGTTAAAATGATAAGTATAACTTTTTTCCAAACTAGATCTTTATAAACTCATTTAACTGAGAATGGTGTAGTCTACCGGAACAGTATTTCTCATTTTGGACTTTAAATAGACTCTACGCTTATCAACCTAAGGCAAGGTTCACCAATTCCCACTCTAGATGTTTACAAATAAATGATTCAGACAACCTTCAACTTATCTATCACACTCGACACAGAACAGAAAGTTGATGGAGACAAACATGAGGATGAATCATTATCATTATTAATATGTTGTTGTATGCTGTCAAATCTTCAAACTGCACAGTGACTTACAAAAACATATTATATGCAATTATAATTTCCTCAAAGGGTCTGGATCAGGGATGGGTTAGCAATAGCAATAGCAGTAGACTTATATACCGCTTCATAGGGCTTTCAGCC